CGCCCAGTGGAGCTCCAGCTGAGCAAAAGGCTGCCTCCTGTATGTCCACCCCAGCCCAGGCCCAGGAAATAGGTTTCTGCTTGTCCCTAAGAAGCCCTGTACAACCTGGGCAGCATAGCAAGATCCCCCCCCCACAGCTCTACAAAAGTTTAAAAATTAACTGAGCATGGTAGCATGTGCCTGTAAGCCTAGCTACTTGGGAGGCTGAGGCAGGAGGATCACTTGAGCCCAGGAGTTGGAGGTTTCAGTGAGCTGTGATCATGCCACTGCACTCCAGTCTGGGCAATAGTGAGACCCTGTCTCAAAAAAAAAAAAAACAAAAAACAAAAAAAAAAAAAAGTCCTCTTAGAGATCTTGAAGATAGATGATATGTCTCCTTGCCCCTAGGTCTCTCCCAGCTTGAGCCTCTCACCTCTCATCCTGTCCCTTAAGTCTTCTCTGACTCAGAAGCAGCCAGCTTGCTTCCAGCCTCTGGGCTCCTGCTGCCTTGTCCTTGCCCTTAGATCTGAAAGTGAACTTGGATCCCACGCAATGTACAGATTTCAGAGGGCCAAGCTTTTTGTGCCTGAACCAAGGCGTTCAGTCCCTGTCCCAAGGCTCCATGGTCTTTCTTGTCCTTGCAATCTAGACCTCCTTATCCAGCTGCTTCTGGAAATAGCTGCTTGTCGGTTTCTCACGGATTGGGGCCTCTCAGACCCCAGAATCCAGGCAGGAATTAGTGCATTTTCCTTCACTGTTTCCTACCGAGCAAAGCATAGCCATGGCTTCACGTTCATTTTCAACACTATGCAAGTCTTCTCATCACTTAGGATGTGATGGCGCCACCAATTTCCCATCCAAATCAAAAGGTTGGAGAGGCCAGGGGGTCCGGGAGCGAGGGGCTTGGCGCCAGGACTGGGCCGAACAGGCTCCTGAGGTGGGAGCAGTGCCACCTCTGGATCAAGCTCTGCCTGATTCGGCCTCCCTTCCCCGCAGGACTGCGTGCAGCTGAACCAGTACAAGCTGCAGAGTGAGATTGGCAAGGTAGGACTGGGGCAGGCCAAGAGCAGTGGGGCTCAGGACCCTCTTCCTGGCTCTGTTCCTTCTCCTCCGTGGGTGGGAATGTGAAATGTGAAGCAGAGCCAGGGTGGAGATGACCCCTGATTCTTGACACCTCCCCCCAGGGCTTGATGGATGACAAGGAGGGACTCAGGGGGACCCGGAGCTGTGTTGAGCAAAGCAGGGCAGTTACCAGGGCACAGGAATCCCCTCCCCATCTGCCTGAAATTATGGTGCATGAGCATCTCTCTCTTATTTCCTCTGACATCCTGGGTTCCCTGTCCTGTTCTCCCTCCAGTATGCCTGCATGCCCGTCCCCTCTCCTACCCTCCGGAACAGGGCGGGACCTTGGCATTGGCTGCTTTGCCAGCTAGCTACACCTTACCTTCTTGTCTTTTCTTTCAGTGTTTGACCTCCTGAGAAAGGGGTGAGTTCCCCGTCCCGATCAGGCAGGTCAATTCTTATCCAGGCCTTCCTTTCCCTCCCTGTGTCCCCAGCCCAACAGTCAGCTACTCTAGGAGAAATCAGAGAACTAGGCCCTTCCCCTGGGGGGCTCTGGTCTTAGGGGTAAAGAAGAGACCAAGAGGACCATCCTCTGAAGGCTGGTGGAGGTCAGTGAGGCTAGAATAGTCAGCGAGGCCCCTGGAAGGAGGGGGTGGGTTTTGAGCCAGGCCCTGAAGAACTGGGAAGAAGATTTGCATGGAGGAGAAGGGGAAGAAATTAGTGTTTTTTAGGCAAAAGTATAGAGGTGGGACTCAAATCTTACTTGCATTCAAATCACAAGGGGTGCTTTCAGCTTTACAAACTTTGAATTGAGTGTGTAGGGCTCCTCCATTTGCTCCCATTTATGAAAGAGAAAGCTGAGGATCAGAGAGAGTAAGTGGCTTGCTCAAGGTCACACAGCAAGTCACTGAGGAAGCCTAGTCTAATAGATGTCTTTCCTGTATGATTTTTCAGGGTATTTAGAACAGAACAGCTGACATGGGGTGGTGGGCACGGGGCTGGGTGGTTGGGGACCCTCACTGCCAAGGGCTTGAAAGCAGGCTGTGGCTTGTCTCTATGCCTGGGGGGCTTCCTAAGACCAACTTGGGGAAGGGGGCAGGGAGTTGTGTCCCTTTAAGATTCAGGGGCTTTCAAACATTTTGGACTCTATTCAAAACACAAAATATATGTTTATATTGCAGTCCATATCTGTAACTGAAATCAAAGTTCTACAACAGTATATATCTTTTTCACATGTCATACGTTCTGATATATTCTACTTCGATAGGGCAAAAAAAAAAAAAAGCAGTTGCCACCCACTAGGTTGATTTCATGACCCTCTATTGGATCTGGATCCACAGTTTAAAAACTGCTCTAAATGGCATCTTTGCAATTGTTTGATTATAGATAATAAAGATCTTAGAAGAAGGAATATGAAGCCAATCAGAAATTAAGATAAAGCTAATTTGAAATTATAGTGACTGAAAAGGGATATTTATATCTATGTGTGTTTTACAATTTTCATCATATGGGAGAAAAAGCTAATATCTTGGGTTCTAGGCACCCATGTGAGCATAGGGTTCCCAGGATGTCCCCAAGGGCCTGAAGAACGGCCCAGCCCTGTTCCCCTTCACCTGTGCCCACCTTTTGGCATCCCGATTCCCGCTGAACACCCCTCCCCCCATGCTTCTCCATAGACCCGTCATGGAAGTGCCCTGCGACAAGCCCTTCCCCGAGGAGCAAGCTCGCCTCTACCTGCGGGACATCATCCTGGGCCTCGAGTATTGTGAGTCAGGGGCAGCCTGCCCCCTGCGCCGAGGTTAGGGCATCTGGGAGCGGCCGGCCCAGCGGAGCCGGTCCTGAGCGGACCTGTCAATCAGCCGCAGTGGGGGCGGGGCGTGGGCCTGCAGGCGGGGCCCAAGGGCTTTCAAGCGGGATGGGGGTGGCGGCAGGTTTCACTGGGCATGCGCCGGGTCTTTAGCTGGTGGGGGCGGTGCTGGTGCCTGCACCACGTCGGTGTGCGCCTTGGGTGTTCTGTCTGCAGCTTTCCTCCGCTTTCTTAGCCAAGCATGGCCTCTCCACAGGGCCTCGAGAGATGTGGGAAGGAAGGGATTTATGTCCAGCTGCTCCGGGGGGAGTGTCCTGGCACGGGGCCCGTGGATGGTGGCAGGGGGCGTTCAACCATGAAGGGCCCTAGGGTGATGAGAGCTCAGGACAGCAGATGTTAGTTAGCTTAGCCGCTATCTCTGGAATTCATTTACTTGTTCTCTCATTCATTTCATTCATTCACTTCATTTGGGAGTACCTACCAAGTGGCGGCTGGGGGCAGAGACGACAAAGACCCAGATTGGACCTCACTGCTTAGTGGGAGGGACAGAAGACTGAGCAGGCAGATAATAATACAGTGTGGTGCCTGCCAAGACCAGGGAAGGACAGGAGCACCCAGGCCGGGGGAGGCTTCCTGGGAGAGGCTCCGTGTGACTAGGGTCCTGAAGGATGGCTAGGAGTTCGTTGGCCAGGGGTTTCGGGGGATGGGGGTGGGAGACAGTATGCCAGGCAGAGGCACAGAGGGGAGCAGGGCGTGCACTATTTGAGTTTGGGGAGACGTTCAATCTGGTTGAAGCCTCCAGTGGGCGGGGGCTGGGGGGGCGAGGTGGTTACTGAACTATGATGCTAGAAACCCTGTCCGGGCCACGGCCACAGCGTGAGGGCTGGGAATGCCTCCCTGAGGACTGTCACAACTTCATCCTGCGAGCCTCAGTGTTGTGAGGCCCCGAGGGCTTTGAGCTGGGGGTTGTGTTGGGATTTACGCCTTAGAAAGCTCTGTCTGGCAGCTGTGTGGTGGCTGGATCTGAGAGTGTCATCGGAGGGTGAGAGACAGCCAGCTGGCCAGGGAGGAGGCTGTTTCTACAGCCCAAGTGACAGATGGTGAGGCCTGGATTAGGGCAGTGGCAGTGGGGAGGGGCTGGGAAGGGGGTGGGGTGGCCAGCACAGGGTGACTGACTGTCTGGGGAAAGGAGGGCGCCTAGTCACCTATGGTGCTGGCCTGGGTTGGGTGCCGGGGTGCCGCCCATCTCTCCAAAATCTTAGCTTGGTTTGTTGGAAGCATATTCTCTCCCTGGGGAACAGGGCGGGGACCCAGCTGAGGTTTGACCTGCAGTAACAGGAACAAGACTGTTTTTATCCTGCTTGAGCCTCTTCTATGCCCTCAGATGAATACTCTTTATACATATGGGGAAACTGAGGCACACGTAGGGAAGGGCTTGGGAGAAAGTCCCTACCAAAAGCCTAGAGGTGTGAGATGGGAAGGGGACATTTTACTCTCGGTATGGTCAGTGGCAGGCACGGTCCTATACTGGCATGGCTCCACCTCCTTCCTGTTTTGGGCCCCTCTCTCCCCCAGCTGGGGGCATGCTGTCTGCCTTCCACTGTCCCCCTCAAAACAAGCTGGTGTCGTCTGGGTACTGGGTAAAGCCTCATCAGGACCCAGCTAATCACAGTGAAGGGCTCCCCTGGAGTGGATCGGGTAGTGCCGGCGGCTGGCCGGGTGGACACGCAGAGGCACGGCGAGCTGAAGACCTGCCTTGTGACTCTGGCCCCACCAAGGGAGAGCTGCGCTGAGAGGGCTGCGTGTCAGGGAGGCCCAGGCCCGGCTCTTAGTCCATGGGGGCTGGTGCAGCAATGCAGGGGATGTATTTTAGAAGTTGAGCTCGCAGGACTTGCTGATGCACTGGGCGTGGGGTCTGAGAGAAGGAGAAGCTGAGGATGATCCTGAGGTTTTTGGCAATGCTGATCTGCCTCTAACCAAATGGGAAGGACTGGGGGGGAGCAGGGGTTTTCTGGGGTTTTTTTTTGTTTGTTTTTGTTGGGGGAGGTGTTGCAGGCAGAGAAATCAAGTTATCTATCTACCTATTTATCTATTTATCAAGATTGGAAATCCACATGGAGAAAGAGCCTGGAATTCATGGTGGAGGCTAGGTTTTGAGAGAAGAATTTGAGACCTCAGCCAGGCGAAGAGGCTCACTCCTGTGATCCTAGCACTCTGGGAGGCTGAGGCAGGAGGGTGGCTTGAGGCCAGGAGTTCAAGACCAGCCTGAGCAATATAGTGAGACCCTAAAAATAGGAAAATTAGCTAGGCATGGTCTTGTGCACCTGTAGTCCCAGGTACTCAGGAGGCTGAGGCAGGAGGATCACTGGAGCCCAGGAGTTCGAGATTGCAGTGAGTTATGATTATACCACTGCACTCTAGCCTGGGTGACAAAGTGAGACCCTATCTCAAAAAAAAAAAAGAATTTGAGACCACTTTTCATCATTGACTGTCCAGCCCCCTGAGCTTCTGTGCGCTGATGGGCATGTGTCAGATTCCTCATGTGTGCCTGGCACATGGTAGGCCAACAATAAAAGGCCATTGGTGCTGTGGTTAATGTTATATGATGCACACTTTCTTGGCCCCCAGCCTTCCTCTCCTCCTTCTCCTCTCTTTTCTCTCTGTCTTCCCTCCTTTTCAACATCCCTGGGTCTGTTGGTCCAGGGGAAAGTATTTGCTAAGAAGAGAGTCCGCAAGTACGTGGCTGTGGGGTGGGGTCAATTTCTTCTCTTCGTTGGAACATGCCTGGGCATCTCACCCTGAGCTGTCCAGCCCTTCCTGGCAGTACTGGACCCAGGAAGCAGGCCGGGCTCCCAGCCTGCTAGAGATGGCCAACCCTCAGCCCAGCCATGTTCATCCTGGTGGTCCCAAGGCTGGGGTGCCCTCCCTCTCTGAAATGCCATCATCCCAGATCCCTAGGGCCAAGACAGTGCCTCTGTAGGGTATCGAAGTTCCCACAGTCTAACCCTCAGTCCCAGGAGCCGGGACATCCTTGACCAGGCTGGGCAGGGGACAGAACCGTGTAGGGTGGTGGCAGGCTTCGGGCTTGCAGGCAGCACTCAAATGGGAGGGGCAGAGACGGCCGATGGAGAGCTCCCTTCCCCCAGTTTCCTCTGATCTCCCCCACCAGCAACAGGTACCTTGTTTGTCATGGAGAGAGCACTGGACGTAGAGTCCAAAGACTCCTAAGATTCTAGTCCTGGCTCTGCTGCTGACAGCTTGGACTGCACTTGCATAGTAGAGCAGATGGCCCTTATGTCCTCTTCTGAGGTCCTCATGAGATAGGAGTGTGCGTGGGCTGGGATGCCCTGGCTGGCTTCCCTGGCTGGGCAAGGGAGGTGCGGGTTGCTGGGCATCCATCCCCTAGGCCAGCGCTCGAGCCGCCTCTCTCTGCAGTGCACTGCCAGAAGATCGTCCACAGAGACATCAAGCCCTCCAACCTACTCCTGGGGGATGACGGGCACGTGAAGATTGCCGACTTCGGTGTCAGCAACCAGTTTGAGGGCAACGATGCTCAGCTGTCCAGCACGGCCGGGACCCCGGCATTCATGGCCCCCGAGGCCATTTCTGATTCTGGCCAGAGCTTCAGTGGGAAGGTAACTTCCAGGCCCTGGGCCAGGTTGGGCTTCGGGCAGAGGGGTGGGACAGCTTGCGGCAGGGGCCTAGTTTGCAACCTGAGCATGCCAAGGTCCGTGTGTCTAGGCCTCTAGGGAGTGACACATCTGCCTCTTCCTTGGAGCATGACAAACTCCCCACCTTTGGCCTTCCTTTGTTTTCCAGCAAAATGGCCCCAAATCTGCCCTGCAGGTATTTACTGCCAGTTGCTCTGTGCTGGGTTCTGAGCTGGGCTATGGAACAGGCAGAGAGACTCCAGCCCTGCTTCCTGCCCTTCTGGATGGTGAAAAGGGCAGGAGAGCTTATATTTTGGGGATGTCAGAGGCTCCCCTCAGATCTTAGACATGGCAGGCTTTGAACTTGGCCTTGAAGAGCAGGGAGGATCTGAGCAGGAGCTAAAGCCCAGAGAACATACAAGAGAACTGAGGGGCAGGGGCAGAGTGTGGAGGACCTGGAAGTTTGGGCTTCCCCCTAAGCGACAGGGGTGTAGGCTGAGCATTCTGAGCAAGGGGTTACACGGGTCGGCGTGTTTCCCGGGGCCCACGCCCCTTCTCGACCGTGGAGCCAGCGCTGATTGCCCCACTGCACCCTGCCAGTGAGGCTGTGGCGTGGCTGATGGGCGTTTGCACACGTGTGTGGGTTCAGAGCCCAAGAAAGAGGTCGGACACAGATAAGGATTTTAAAAAATGTTTAGTTTTGATACAATTCTAAATTTACAGAAAAGTTGCAAGACTAGTACAAAGACATTCCATGTATCTTTTTGCCCAGATTCACCAATTATCAACATTTTGTTCCATTTGCTTTTTTGTCATCTCTTTCTATTTATATGTGTTCATATTATATCTCTCTGAGCCATTCGGAAGTTAAGTTGGAGACGCTATGGCCTTTGTCACTCGATATGTCAGTGGACATTTCCTTAGAACAAGGACATTCTCTTACATAACCTCAGTGCAATGATCAAAGTCAGGAAATTTATCATCGATAAGGGTGACATAATTTACAGGCCTTATTTAAACTTCATCAGTTGTCCCAATAATGTCATTTATAACTTTTTCTAGTCCAGGATCCAATCTGGGTTCACTTGCCACATTTCACTTGTCTTGTCGCTTTGGTGTCCTTTAATCTGGAAGAATTCCTCGCCTTTCTTTGTCTTTCCTGACCTTGTCATTTTTGAAGAGAACAAGCCTGTTACTTTGCAGAGTGTTGTCGGTTTGCATTTGTCTGGTGTTCCCTGGTTGGATTCAGATGATGCATCTGGGGCGGGAATCCGTAGGTGGAGATTCGAGAATCACTCATGTAAGAGAGAAAGCGCACAGCAGGAGGGGGCGTGGGGTCCTGGGGGCGGGGGATGGAGAGAGAGCCGTTAGAAGCCAGGGTGTGGGGGAGCCCGATTGTGCTTGGGAGCCTTGAGGAGTCGTGGCACTGGCACGGGATGTGGGGACTGGACAGGGGCTGCTTCCTGTGTCAGGAAAGGTGGATTGTTAGAAGGGAAGACCCCCCGAAGCCAGAGCCTGTTTGTGAGTGTAAGTTTAATACATGCCATCATTCCTGCGGTATGTCCATGGCATGGTGGCGGCAAATGTGACCCTGTGGATAAAGGGGGCTTTGCACCTATTGCACCAGACATACCTGGTTTGGGTCTATCTCGAGGAGACTCAGGACCCTCGGAGAGCAGGGGACCTATTCTGGTCACCCCTGTGTCCCCAGTGCTCGGCACAGGGCCCAGCATGGAGCATGCACCTGGGAGTGTTTGTTGAGTGAATCCATACATGATTGAGGAAGGAGGTTCCCCGCAGGGCCTCTCTCCCACAGCCCACCAGAGCTGGGTGGGCGGGGAGCGGCCATATCTGTCGGGGGACTGATGTGAGCGTGTTTCTTTCTAGGCCCTGGACGTGTGGGCCACTGGAGTCACACTGTACTGCTTTGTCTACGGGAAGGTGAGTGCGGGCGAGGCCAGCAGAGCTGGGGCGGGCCCAGACCCCAGACCCCAGACCCTGAGCTGGACCCAGTGAGCCAGGCGTGGGTGGCAGATGCAGGCCCTTCTTTTGTGTCCACTTCCTTTGGAAGGTGGCTTTTGAAAGAGCCCACCTGGCTCAGAGAAGGCTGAGGAAGAAGAGGGTTTTTCTGTTTTTCTCTGATCCCCTTGGGAGAGATTCATGTGGCGTCTCAGAACAGCAGACATCCAAGAGGGGGTGCAGACGGTGATGTAGGCCCCTCTCCAGCCAGAGTGCCCCTGTCCCACTGCCCCTTGACACCTGTACCCACAATCTACTCCCAAACTTTGCTGTGGGTCTGGGAAATCTGGGAGGATGTGCATCCACAACACAGATGGGAGACTGGAGTCTCGGAAGCCTGGAAGGAGCTTGCCTAGGGTAGAGTGGTGGCAGGACTGGGAAACCCGCCCAGGCTCCTCCGTGGCCAGTGGGACTCCACCAGCCAGCCCTGCCTCTTTGACATCTGTCAAAGCAAGGGCATGTGGGGAGTGCGGGGTAAGACAGGCACGACGCTCCATGAGACCCGTGTTCTCTAAGTCACCGTGTGGGTATAGAGGAAGTTACTGCCATTCTAGGAAGGAACAGAGGTCAGGGGAGCCACTCACTTTTTTCCTGAGAAATGCCTGGAGTCTGGCCAGGGAAATGGGGAAGAGGACATTCAGGTGGGGTGGGGGGCCGTAACGCAGCGTGGTGCAGAGGTTGGGTCCCAGTCTGGAGTGTCAGGGTGGGGGGGTGTTGGGTGTAGCCCATGGTCATGGCTGAAAGGTGACGGCGGGGGCTGAGGCTGGAGGTTGATTTGGGGCTCAGACTGCAGTAGGTCAAGGGTAGGCGTGAGGCCAGGCCAGGGGCAGTATCAGCCTGGAGCAAATGCAGCAAACCTTGTGGCCACATGAACAAACTGGAAGGAAAAAACAAAGGAGAGAAAAGGCATGACCTTTAGTGCAATAAAGTCTTGCTTGACAGCCTCCAAGCAGCAGTCCCCTCAATGACCCTGTCCTGGGGTGGAAGCTCTGCTGGGGAAGGGAAGGGATAATGGGAGACTTGCTCTTTCGGCCTGGACATGGCAAGAGGAGTGGAGCGCTGGAGCCCCCGGGGAAGTCTTCCTGGAAGCAGGGAGAGGGATGGGGTAGGGGGCTGAAGTATCAGAGAGGGCCTCCCTGGAGGAGGCGGGTGGGCTGCAGCATCAGGGAGGCTCTGCATTACCGGTGCCCAGCTCAGCTTCCAGGAGGCAGCGCTGTGATGCCTGCTGGTCAAGGGTGGGGCTTGTGAGTCACTGGGCTGCATGCCGTGGGGACTGAGGTTGACCCTAGCTCTGCCCCCTCCCAGTGCTGCTGGGTCTTCTGCCCTGTCTTCTGTCCTGACTCCAGAGTATCAGATTCCCCCTGCTTCCCCGTGGAGCCCCGTGGGCAGGAGTGACTGTGCCTGTTTTGCAGGTAGGGTACTGAGACCTGGAGGCTGGCATGCAGCACAGCCAGATTGGTTCCTGGAATTCACTCAGTTACCAGCGACAGGCCTGAGGTTGGGTTGCTGGCAGCCCAGGCAGAGGGAACAGCCAGAGCAAAGGCACGGAGGTGGGACCCAGAGGTTGTGTGTGTGCTCAGGGGGAGAAGGGCTTAGATCCGCCCTCCGCGCCCTGTAGCCAGCCTACATGCAGGAGTGACGCCTTCTCTGCTCTCTTTCTCAGGTTCCCAACGAGGGCGACACGGACAGCCCCCGGACTGAGGCAATGGAGGGGGGCCCCTGTCTGCTGCCAGGACCCTCGAGCAGAGGCTGGTAGAACCGGGTGGCAGCCATCGACGTGGCCACTTGGAAGAGGCGGATGGTGACCCAGAGCCTGCCAGGAACGGGTGTGGACCCTCCGCCACGGGCCAGAGCTGCTTCTGTGATCCCTGGCAGTGCTTCAAGACCGCCCCAGCCCGCCCAGCCTCTCAGCTAGGAAGTTCTCCCTGCAGGAGCGGCCAGCAGGAAGCTGCCTGGAGGCCCGGGCTGGGCCTTATGCCACGGGGCCTACAAGCCACATCTCCCCACGGGCCTGGCGGAGGCCCACCATAGAGTCACACCGCGTGGCCATCTCGGACGCAGAGGTTGGTGGGGCAGAGCTAGGGGTTGCTTATGAGCCCTTCGGTAGGCCTCAGTGAAGACTCTTTTCTGACCCCATCTGTGCCACACAGCCATCTAGCTTTGGTTTGTATGCCCTCAGAGCTGGGGAGCTCAACACCTAACAGTATGGCCTCTTCTCACCCAGTGGAGCTCCAGCTGAGCAAAAGGCTGCCTCCTGTATGTCCCATCCCCAGCCCAGGCCCAGGAAATAGGTTTCTGCCTTGTCCCCTAAGAAGCCCTCGTACAGCCTGGGCAGCATAGCAAGATCCCCCCCCCCCACAGCTCTACAAAAAGTTTAAAAATTAACTGAGCATGGTAGCATGTGCCTGTAAGCCTAGCTACTTGGGAGGCTGAGGCAGGAGGATCACTTGAGCCCAGGAGTTGGAGGTTTCAGTGAGCTGTGATCATGCCACTGCACTCCAGTCTGGGCAATAGTAAGACCCTGTCTC